ATACATTCATTTTGGACACAAACGACTCAATTTGTTGGTTTAAGATGTATTTATCCAAAAAATGAAAGAGAAAGAAAATACGTCAACAGTCTCACAAATAAAGTATGTCAATATCGTGGGCTGAAAACAAAGAAAATGCCCACAAGTCAAAAGACTCGAAATTCAGGTTATTTTAAAGATCGTTTATTTGTTATCAGTTGTTATCATTTCTTAATGCTCTCCGGAATATATAAAAGTCCAGAGTTTCTATATCAATAATCCACAAATTATACTCAATATACATAAATGAATACGGATGCGTCTAATATACTTCATTTACAGAATGCCGGAAGTGATGAAATAGAAAGCATCGGTCATGGAATACCAGGCTTTGTTGCATTTTTTTAGTATTAAATTTTCATTGTGTAAAAGTTTAAGATGTAGTTTACCTCCACCCAAATCCGAAGAAAAAGTGGATTGTCAAAGAAACTATTTCCAGTACAAGCATCTTTGACCCCTTATAATTCTAGGACAAGATGATTGGCCGAAAATATTTTTTTTGTTGGTTTGACATTGTTATCGTATAACTCATTCATAGAAAGTATTAAATGAGAAAGTTATATGATCATTAGCTAAGACCAATCAATGAAGACTGTTTGGTGGTAAAAAAAAAAGATCTCACCGTGATCTTTGGTAATATTAAAATAAGAAAAGGCAAATAATTCAAATCCCAAAGTTTTTTTCAGAGTATTCGTTTCCTAAAAACCTTAAACTGGAATGCCCAAACATAACCAGCATGTGACACACAGACAAAAGTGTTGGTTAAGGATGTAGTGTTTTTATGCATTGAAAAACTAATGTTTCATGTTGGCTAAATATGCAAAAAGGGAACGGATTCGAAAAAATGATAGTTTACTACATCTATGTATCGCCAAGCTTTGATCCCGTGTCTTTAAACCTACATTATTCTCTAGTACTGTTATTTGTGGCCTAAATGTTGACGATTTTAGAAAAACAAGTTAGATGACCTTTGACCAGAAGATCTTACAATTTGGCGAACAAAATCTTTGCAATACTTTCAAATGCATATGCTTATACTTAAATTTTACGGTTTTCGAACGAATAGGAATTGTTATTAGTGGGGCGGATATGTAACATTTTTTGTTGAGTTGTGCACTTCCGGAAAGAAGCATGCCAATTTGTCCTAGGGGGTTTTGGGTATGCTAATTTCAAAACTTGTGGGAACCACGACCTCACTCCAGCCGTTCACGCCGAAAATCTGGAAATTCAAAATGACCGCCTCAAAACATTATTTCGTCCATGAAATCCCTCTAAGTGCCCGATTTCAATGATCTTGATGTCTATACTTATGTTTTAAGGTCACAGAATCTAGTAAAACGCAATTCAAGACTTATACAGTTTTCCTTCATATGTTTAATTTTTTAAAAAAATGTCATAATCCGAATCGATTAGGTGACAAAATGTCTTTAAGGCGTAACATTGTTTGAACAACCCGAATCTGATAATTTAGTTATAGATTGTTTGTATGGGAGTATCTCACTTAACACAAGAGTTCCTGTCCTTAATAGTAATTTCATTTAATAATCTTTATTACACTGTCCTGAGCAGAAGCATAGCTGTGCACACGGCAGATTTGCTTTGACACACTTGCATCGCCGAGTACATTCCTTCTTGCACCCACATTTCAACAGTTCCTGACAACCTTTGGCTGCCTCTGGAAGGGTTGTCCAGCATGGAGTCCATGGAGAATCATCTTTCACTCTCTTCCACCCCCATAATTCTGGTGAAGGATCATCCGGCTCGCCAGTAAGTGTCTGTCCCCAGATATACCCTGCCTGGTAAACAGCCCTTTTCACGTGCTGTTCAAGAGCATTCAGCGTTGGAGGAATGTTTTCCATCTAACGGTTGTAAGTGGACAAGTATTTCCTGGCTTCATTCACATGACTATGTCCCGATGTTCGCTGGTACAGTAGAACCACGTATCTTTCTATTTGGTCCATATCGTCGGGTGTTACTTGAGTTGGAGCATGAGATAAATGCACAAATGTAGCTGTGAGCTTGGACATACTGCGCCATACAGCCCAAGCTGTTTTCTTTCCAATTCCGAAGAATGCAGAAACAGTATCACATCCTGATATCGCGTGCATAAACAGAAGACCCCATGATGTATCATTGCCTAGTTCACCTGAAATTAGGTGACAGGGGATGTATCTCAGTTTAGAACCATGACCGAATACTACCCACATTCCACAATCTTTGAAGGCGCTTGATACAGCAACTGCGAGAACCACCACATCCGTATCAGTGGCATGTATTATCATGTTGGTGAATCCTTGATGGAATGCATCGGAGACATGAAACAGGAGCCGGGTGTCCGCTTCTTCTTGAGTGCAGGACAAGTCTGAGAGGTCAGCATGAAACAGCGCTCCGGACTTTTGTTGAGATGATTTGTTTTCCTTGGGAGGATGGGAACTCTTGTACAGCATCGGCAAAAAGTTGGAACAGGCTCTCTTTGTTTGAATCACACTGAAGAAAGTTTTCCCAATTAGCAGGAATTTAAGTATTGTTGGCCGCTCGAATATGGTTACCAGTTTCACGATTCTGTCGTGTTTGTCACTTTAGGCTGTCTTCCTTATAGATATCCCAAACAAAATCTAAACGTGAAACATCCTGTAGCATGCGTTTTAAAGAGGGAAAGAACACCAACTGTGAATAGTTCTGGAATGTTTTCACAATTTTCTTTGACTTCTTTGGGTCAAGTGTGTGAACAAGGGCAGCGCCATCAACAATTTTAACATGAACTTTTGGTGTAGATTCTTATTTTGGTGCCAATGTGATTTGATGCTAGTGATGGAGGCCAGGCATGATTTCCATGCATGAAGAAGACATCCATATCACTGTCTCGAGCTTGGCATGATATGTACATCCGTGAGAACATCAGCACACAAGTTGGAGCTTTTGGTGGCGGACTTGGTAGGCTTCTTTCCCAAACTTAGCATTAAACACAGGCAGTTTGTTTTTGTGAATTGTGTCATTGAATGATGTGCAATCAGCATTAATACGCTCTGCAACGAACTTCTGGTATTGTGTTTTGCAATATTTTCTGCCGACTTTATTGTATTTACAACGCTATCAGGCATTATCCGTTTGGTGTCAAGCGTATACAAATCTGTGCCAGTATCTGCAAAGGGGTTTCCTAGTTCCTCCAGTACATCAGTGACGTTCTTGACTTGTGATATAAACGCCTTCTGTACACTTGGTATCTGTTCATGGTGGCGATCTGTGTCTTTTTTCATGTAGTGTTTTTCATCGTACTCAATCAAAAGCCTAGCTGTTTCTTGGCCCGCCACCATCCATCATGTCAATGCGGCTTCATTCTCTGTGATACCTATAGCACCACCATCTCCTTTCACCATTGCATTCAGCTGTTCACGAACCTGTTCATGGGCTAGTGCTGAGAACTTGTGTGTAGATTTCTGAATGACGAAGTTGCCTTTAAGAACTCTGCATAGGTGTCTGGACTGTTAATTTCCAGGGCAAGAATATCTTTGACATGAATTGTCATCCATCGTAAATAGTGGAAGTGGTCAAGGGTAAACATAAATGGGATAATTTTTCCAAGAGAATCCAAGTAGAACATAAAATTTGGTCGACGCTGTAATCTAAGGAACTGCAGGAGTAGACGTTCCAACTGCCAGACTTTTTTCGGACACGGGTATCAAGGGACATTGTTTCTGCTTTGTGAAAGTCTCCAGTATTTCCATCATAGAAAAACAAGCTTGCTGATGTGGCTCTTCTGTATCCATCAGACATGCTGAAGCGGTTGGACTACGGAGGTGTTTTTGATGCGGTGATTCGGTCGTGTCTATACAAGCTTTTTCTTGCAGCTTCCTGGATCTCTCGACTTTTGCATTATTACACAGGACGTAACAATGCTTTGCCATAGTCTTTTCCATGCCATCAACATCATCATCAAGTCGGGATACGTTTATATTCAAGGGCACAATTTTCAATTCATAAAAGGCAGATAAATCAGTTGCCAGAGACGAGTAACCTGTTGCTGATGGGTTTATGAGTTTTCCACCATGTTCTTGACACAAAGCAAAGATGTCCCAATTAGTCGGTTGAACAAATGATGCACATTCCCGAGGAGCGAGTTTAAGTTTTTTAGACATGTGTAACGTACCGGGGTCCGTACTCTAGTCACTTCTAAGGATCCCTGTGTTATAAGCTTGACTATCTAGTTCTATACTACAGATGCAAATACAAATACGTGTTACTGCCTTGTAACCAACATTCCTAATGTTTATTTTGTAGCATGTACAAAACCAACGCTACATGACATGCTAAAACTACAACCAAAGCTATCTGCGTTATAATTAATATAACAACTAACTATATACAAACACTATCGTACCAACCAGACACAGCCCCCACTCGACCACCACGTCGTAGCTCGCCATAACTATAGCCACTACAGTAGCCCTATGACCATAAGCTGTCACTATACCTAGTCGCACCAAGCACGACAACCTTATAACCACTAACAGCCTACACGTGCTAGTGTTGCAGCGACACTCTAATGACCACGATTACCCCTAGTTCTGGGCGACTACCTATACTCAATGCACATTTACGGGTATGACTAGCCTAGTCGCGACTACCTAGTCACGACTACCAAACACTATAGCCACGACTACTCAGAACCAGTAACGACTATACAACACTATAGTCACCACTTCATGGACAAAGCTCTAGCCGCGACTACCTTACACTGTAGTCGCTACTACGTGCACCCAGCACTAGCAACGACTATATACAGCCCTAGTCGCGACCACACAGCCCGGTTGGCTTATAGCTATCGCCAACACCTGAGTAGCTCACTACCGCACACTGTCTTTTATTAATATGTCTAACACAGCAGTGTTTGGGTCAAGGGAACACTTATTCAGTGACTTCTATCTTCCCAAACTACAGCCGGTCACATACACACTACTTACGGTACTAGGGTATTATTGATGATGATACGCCGAGCTCCACAACAGTTCTGCCGCAACTTGCTGGTTTTCGAGTATTTATACCCTATGGCTATACTAACACCACCTCGCGGCGAGAAATGATATAATCCTCAATACGTTTTATTTGTGCGCTTATAAACACAACCTCTGTCAAGCGCGTGAAGTACAGAGATAACTAAAAATGATTAACGCCAGTCGATCTGTTTACACCTGAATGATATGCTACATTAACGGAGGTAGGATTACGATATACACATTCATCACACATGGTAGATGATTGACTAGATGATCATCACTTCATGGACGCTTTCCTGTGTTTGAAAAAACAGAAATATACATTATTAAATGTATTTCTATTGAATACATGAAGTCATATTATCACCTAATCGATTCGAAACTTCATGGACGCTTCCTGCTTGTGAAAAATAACAAGATACATTGTTAAATGTATTTCTATTGAATACATAGTCATTTTATTACCTTATCGATTCGCATTATGACATTTTTTGATAAACATTTGAAGGAAAACTGTATAAATCTTGACATGTGTTTTATTAGATTCCTTGACCTCATAATCATAGGTATAGACATCAAGATAATTGAAATCGGGGCACTGAGAGGAATTTCATATATACTATATTGCTATTTCAGTATTTTGGCTTCGTGAGAGCCATCCCTGAAGAGACCAAATGTTACATCAAGAGTCAACATGACTATTTTGGAGAGAGCTACTCTTTGACATCGCAACCATATGAAGAGCTTGATCCAGGACAGATGTTTTAAATAACATGTTTTCACTGTACTTGACCCGCGCCGTAAACTCCAGAGGATGGCAAGAACATATTTTGTCCCTTCAGGTATTGATGCAAGTAACCACGTTTGGTTTGAATAGGTGCAGTGGTTCGTGGGAAGATGAAAGTATGAAAAGATAATGGACGACCCATGACGAACATAAGGCTCAATTAACATACAACCAGGTTTTGTATCCAGACTATGATCAAGAGACAGAGCATTGAAAATAGACTCATTATACTTTTTCCATGCCTTGTCTGGCCTGTCTTGTGATCCATAGATACGTCACGTTATATCAGTGTCAGTATTCTCATCCAAAGTCGATGAGTGAGAACTCGCAGATGACTATGAAAAAGAGTTGTTTCAGAAAAAGGATTACAAATACTGCTGTTTGGGTTAGTGTGACATATATTTCAATGGTTGAATTACCTATCATAAAGGTACTGTCCACAGGTTTAGTTTATTCGATTTCATTTCAGTATGAATAAACTCTAGTAGTGATTTTCTTGTTCCCGATACAAAACTAAAGTGGTTAGTAAAGAGTTTTTAGGAGACCTTATATAAGTATATCTACGAGGGTAAGCACGTAACAAACAAGGAACACAACAGGAAGAAAATTTAAATTAGCATAAAAAACATTATTTCATGGATTATTAGAAAGAATTAAAAGGAAGTCTGTTTAAATAGCGACAGTCAAGTCTTTGAGTCTATGAAAGAAGTTCGCTGTGTTATGCTTTGTCATCTTAATACGTAACTTGTACTTTGTTTGGAGGTTTTCTGTTGTTGAGGTTGTTCCTTTTCTAATTGGATATAAAATACATGGAACAACACAAATGAAGATATTGTTAGAAAGAGATATGGAACATATGAGATTATTGTTCCATATCATCAATCTAATATCGCTCCCTTCATTCTCGTTACTCTCATGACATTTTCTTTGTTAATAAACAAACAAAAATCTTGGTAGTATTACATTAATGAGTAAAATGGACACGGAGAAATAGGGATCTTTATTACACATTAAGGATTATACAAATATAATTTAATCACCCAATGGCCAAGCACGTAATTATTATCGAATTTAATTTCTTGACTTTTATCTTTTGTTCAATAAACGGATTTTAACACACCTCAGCAAAAAGATTTCAGCATGCCAATACAAAAATGTTTATAGAATGACTGTGCGGAAATTCATCATTAAGAAAAAAATTAATCCTGGTCTTGACAGGCAATATTGACATAAAAAGCAATCGCGGTGTGAGGTATGGACACCAAACACATTCAGTCTCACTGAACAAACATAAAAAGATATTTGACGTAGTACAAAAAGAGGAATTTTGAATTCTTACTGAAAAAGAGGCCACGATAAAATTAGTAAAATGGTTGAATTTGTAACAAGGTAGGCTAGAGCTTAAACTTTCTTTTGATATAAAGGCATTCTTCATTCGAAAAAAATCAAATTGGGGTATAAATACTTTATCTCTTTGGCATTATATAATGCGACTCAACGATAGCTTACGTATTGCTTGAAAAATCAAAGTGAAACTACAAGTCCAACATAAGAGCGGTTATTTTTCTTGTATTGTTTATCATCATAAAGGCAAAACAAATGTGTTTTTCATCAAATTACGCAAACTTTATTAGCGATAAATCGTTTAAATTTTACAAAGTGAGAAACATGAAGGCAATAAAACTCATTCTTTTTAGAAAAGTCTAGAATTTTTCTACATCTACAGCCTGTATCTAGTAATAGGAACAGTTAATAAAGAAATAAGCACAGTATCTAATGAACATACTACAACTTCACACACACAGCATGGTTACCTCCCTTTGTTACACGTTTACTCGCTGACTACTCCAGGGGTATTATCTATATTGAATACATTAAAACCAAACGGCAAATCATCCCTGACAAATACTATCAAAATTGTAATGATTTAAACAACATTGTATATTTCAAATATAAAATATTCATTATTGTTTATCAACATTGTGAATCATTACTTGAACAAATCTGAAAATAAGCAAACTATTGAGTTGAAAATCCTTACAGAAAGCGTCTCCAAATATTGTCCCGTCCAAATGTAACGTTCAGAAAAACCACGACACACTTAAGATGCTTCATTATGGCTGTCACGTAAAGAAATATGAGGTTGAAAATAATATTTTGAAGACGTTAAACTGGAAAACTAGTAAAAAATATCATTCAAAAATATAAACGAATGTATGAAAATACTATTTTCACAGTTTGCTCTCTTTTCTTATATATCATTTCAAACGAAATATGTATGCCTCTTTCGCGTCGAAATGTCGATAATGAGATCATGTTCCTTGGCTGTTATTCCACTAACCTCACGCGCACAGGAGAACCAATTGTCCGGTAGGTCATCTGTCGACGGACGTGCAAGATTTTCATCCCTGCAAATCGTTGACGCAGCCGGACATATTTCATCTTTGACAACTACCCCTTTCCCTGGTGTTAAAAGTGGTCTTTCTTCAATTTTATGCATCTCCAAAGCTTCCGATTTTCCCGGATCTTTTTCATTTTTCGGTTTTCTTCCTAGGTCCGCGAATGGCCATGTCTGGACATATCGTTCGATAACATTGGCGAAACACCCTTGGAAATGTAAGTTGTTGGTGTCAACGTCGAGATCTGCTGCACTCTTAAATAAAACGTTCCTAAAGACCCAAGGCAAAAACCCGCCGGCCAAGGTGGCGAGTGTCTGGTTGCTGTTGTTAACTTCATACATGTCCCCAAATGTAATGACCACAAGTAAGACAAACAGCAAGAAGCCGATGATGACCAGGAATCCAGAGATTGCTCCGCACAGGTTATTCAACAACGGACCCGGACACCCATTACAAGGCATTTCAGAAGTATCAAAGAAAAACTTCTGGGTAATATACGGTTTGTCCTTTTTGTCAAGAAACAACACAAGACGCTTTATTCTCCATTTTAGACTGTCATTTTTCACAACAATTTCCGGCCTGTCGCTGTATTTCAATTCGGAATCCCCAGTTGGCGTGGACATTGAGGCATTCGATATTTCTGATTTTAATTGAAAAGCTGTATTTTCCTGTTGATCTTCTGATTGCCAGGAAATCATTTTCACTTCATCGTCACATTTTGCCATAACAGTTGAAAGCATGGTTTTGTTAAATACCAAATACTTTTGCGAAACACTTCCAAAACAGTCTTTTCCGTAGAGAAAAAGCATAAAGATAAGCGAGACGTACTGCATCGTATATGCAGAGTTCAGGATGACCCCGATTATTGTGTACACCACAACCTCTACGAAAAATGTGACGCATTCTGTAACAAGAAATATTGTCGAGTACATTGTAATCAAACACACCAAGAGTATCAAGACTTGTACACTTCGCCTACGCAAAGACTGGTGACCAGGGATCTCAAACTGTTCTTTTGATGTCAGGAAATCAACCTCAAAAAAGTCGACGACATTACTGACAAATGAAGATCTAGCTTGTTTGCCTTTTGACTTTTTTGACGGAAGAAAATTCATGATAAGATGCATGACGAACCGAACCGTTAAATTGATTGTCGGAAACAAACTCACAACTAAAACACATATAACGAAAGGCACTGTAACTATCCAGTAGAATGGTGCAAGAATCAAAGCTAACATGCCACATCTCTCGCATGGCTTCATGAGCACCATGACACTCCACCCGAAAGACCGCATCGGCGAACGATCGCGCATATCTCTGAAGCATTTCTTCAAAACAAAGACAAACTTGTCCGTGATCGCGTCCTTCAGAAGACCTATAAGAAGTATATCCACAAGGATAAGTGCATAACACACAATGAAGATAGTATGAAGCGGATTGAACATCAGCGTGAAACTTCCGCGGAATCCTAAAACTAGCCCACGGCTCATCGCGGCCTTTTGGTACAACGTATGATTTTGTTGTTCGAACAACATGTAGATAACTACTCGAATTAACCAAGGGCAGATAATCAACACAAGAATTACAAGGTCCATACACGTTTGCAGACATTTGTACCAAGTCAAATTCCACTTGTGTGACAACAGAGGACCAAATATTTTGCTTCTACAACATTTCTTGAGTGACGTTCTCCTGCTAATTTTACATCGTAGTATGGTGTCATACAGTGTTTTTGCTATTCCTACGGGTACGTAATTTCCCGGAAGAAGACGACCACGTGGTACTAGAAAATGCATTGTTCTGATCGGAAGTTC